TGCTGCGCCGCGGCCTGCGGGGAGTTTTGAAGAGAGAGAGAGAGAGGCCTGCTTAACAACTTCCAACAGCATTTCCAGCCCTTAGGTGCCCTGACACCAGCGCCAGGAGATGTCAGCTCCACCAACTGTCACAAAAACCTGCGTGAGGCTCCTCATCCCGATGTGAGCGGAAAACCATTAATTCACCCGCACTCGCCGTACTTACCGCTCGCAGGGTCATCAGCAGGTTGGTGTAGGAGAAGAGAATCAGGCTGAGGGGCATCACGAAGCAGGTGACGAACAAGGCCAAGATGTAGCTGTTGTTGTTGCTGCCACCGGTGTACCAGTTGGGCCCACAAGAGGTTCTCAGACCTGGAACGTTTAGAAACAAGCCTAAACTGATCCTGGGCTTGGATAGAGGCTCAGGAACAGGCTCCAAAATAGCAAAGGCTGGTGCTGCCCCCTCTCAGCGATGCTGCCCAAGCACCTCTCACTTTTCCATCCCCAGTGACCTGGAGATCAGCCACGCCAGTTTTTGGCTGGCCGACTGCTCTATGGAGGAGGGCGGTTTGTTGTGGCGTGCAGCGTTACGGCAAGGCAGATCTGGGCTGGGTACGTGCTGGGTGCTGCTCAGCGGGCTCCAGCAGTCAGAGCAGCTGTGGCTCCGATGCCCATCAGACCTAAGAACAGCTGCTTCGTGTTGTGCGGTGGGTAACTTCTGAGGAACAGCCGCCAAGAGAGGATTATTGACTGAGCGAGCAGGAAGCATTAACATTTTAAATACCAGAATAGAGACTCTCCAACTACCCTGCACTTGAGAACAATACGCAAGAGGAAGCTGTGGAGTTGAGCTCATGTCTGAAGCACATCTCCCCTACCTTCGGGCACGTAGCTGCTCCAGCCCAGAAGCGGTGGGGTCGTCCAGAGCAGTGACCAGCTCCACGTGAAGGCGCAGCCGCTGACGGCGTGCCGGTGCTGGAACCGAAAGTCTCCCAGGGGTCTGCAGACCACAACGTACCGCTCAAAGGCCAAGATGGCCAGGGACCACAGCCCCACGATGCCTGGGGAGAGAAGGAGGGTTTGAGCCTTAGGAACAGGCTCTGCTGCCTGTGCTGGGACGTGGCAGACGGTGATTAAGAGCTGTTGAAGTAAATAGTGTTGTAATAAGGTGTCAGATGTTTTTCTTATGGCAGGGAGAGCTGTGAGGATATCTGGCCCTTAAAAAAATGAAGTTGGCAATTCGGTATCTGTGATGTATCATGGTTACGACCAGGGTTTCTGCGCTGGAGTGTTTTGTGCAGTGTTTCACGTTTCTGGTGCACACACAAGTATCCGAGTGCTGACAGAGCAGCCAGCCAGCACCCACGAAGCACACCCCGAGCAAGGACTCCTGATGGGCCCGAGTGACATTTCCCTCCCTGTGGAGACCAAGACAGAGCGTGTGGTGGCCTGGTGCAGCCAGCCACCTACTTGAGCCTTCCCTGCGCTAAAGAGTAGCTGAAGGACATGAGTTTTATATCAGTCGTGAAAGCATTCCCTTCAGGAGAAGCAGCTAGTTGATGAAACGTTCCCCAAGCTTCTTTGCTAAATGCAATGGCACCAACCAAAGACCAAGACAGGTCTCGAGGTTCACGTCCTTACCTGTCAGGGAGACCATGAAGCCCTCCAGCTCGCACATCCGTTTGCCGAACACGAAGAAGCCGTTGATGTTGTTGGAGAAGCTGACGGAGCTGCCGCAGAGCGTCACCAGCAGGTCGGCCACGGCCAGGTTCACCAGGATGTAGTTCAGGGGCGATCGGAGCTTCTTGTACCTGATGGAAACCACGATGACCAGGCCGTTCACAACTGAGGCGGAGACCACAATGATGCCCATCAGCACGGCCACCGACAGGTACATGCCCCGCGGGGCCTGGTGGGGCCACTGGGGGCCGTCGAAAGGCCCTGGGGTCCCGTTGTTAGGGGGCTCCTGCGAGCGGTTGGAGGAGTACATCTGTCTTCTTCTGGAGCAGCAGCACCGGTGGAGCCGATGCAGGTCCCTCTCCCCAAAAGCAAAGCCTCTTTATAAAGCAGGAGGGCCTGACGCACCCCAGAGGAGCTTTGCATTAAAATGCCTTAAGCTTTTTTTTAATCTGAAGGGTTTGTCCTCCCACCCTCCCTTTTTATAATCAGCTCTTTATTCTGGAGAGGATAAAGAGTGACTTAAAAAAAAAAATCTGACTGAACAGTGCATCATTTAATTAAGTAAATAATTTTTTTCCCTTGTGCTTCCCACCTGCCTCCCCTGTAAGCATCACCTCTGCCCAGCCTCGGCGCCCAGGGCTCGCTGGTTATTCCCCGTGCCGTGGGTTTTCTGGGCTGTGGGTGCTCCCGTCCCATTGCCCTGCGCCGGGAGCGCGGGAGCCGGCCCCTCTGGCAGCATGGTGACCATGGAGCAACCGGGAGGCCAGGTCGGCCACTGCCAAAAGCCATGTGCTGGCCCCCGCCTGGTTCGGCTGCACTGGTTATAAATACACTTGATGACCATGTATCAAATATCTTGATATTATTAATATAGTAATCAATGTATTCTAATAATAAATAGAACAAACTATATAAAATATAGTTATGTTATTATATAGAAGAATTACTGTGTATATATACATATACATTCATACAGGGATGCATTTGGAGGGAGCACATAAGAAAGTGCAAGAGCACCTGTTACCTCTAGCTATGTATAATACAATATATACTACATATGGAGTATATACTTATGTAAGATATCAAATAAAAATATTTTATACACATATATGCATATTAACTTATACAAAAGTAATACATATAAACATATATGAAGCATATATAATATACAATATGTAATATGCAATATATAATATTTTATAACACATTATATATTATAAAGAGTGGATATGTATATATACATGCTATCATATGTGTGTGCCTTTATAGTTACTTATATCTGTACCTATATATAATATACATTCACATCTATATTTATATATATATTTCATATACGCATCGTATATTTTATATAGTGTATATAGCATATAATATTTTATACACATATTTATATACATGTAATATTGTATATTTTATATATTGTAACATCATAATATATACAGAGTACCCCTATATATACATATACATGCAGACATACATATGTATACAGCTGTCTATATAAAGATATATATTTTTATACACACATGCATAAATATATTACATAAGAATGCATGTATATACATGCATATATACATGCACACATATATTTATTATATAGGGGAGAGATTTAAAAATTATGTTATTATGTATAAATATAACATTTATTGTAATGCTATAATATATATAAAAGTGAATATATATGTGTGTGGAGTTACTTATATAGACACACAGTATATATGTAACATATATTCGCTATATAAATATTTTATACACGCATACATATTAAGTATAAAATATTTATATGCATATAATAATTATATATAAAATATAAGTGCATTTATATACTTATACATGCATATATGTGTATCTATTTATAAAGATATCTATATATAGATATATATTTAAACAGACATACATATACACAGAGAGGGGTAACTATGAATATAATAACTGCACAGACAGACAGACAGACACACACACGTATCTCTAAGCTGTGCATCCTGTGGGTGGGCGCAGGGATCTGCTCCCCGAGCCGATGGATTCACACCGTGTGCCGGGCTGGGCGCTGCCGCGCGGCCGGGCCAGCACAGGCCCTGTGGCACCAGCCACCCCGGCACGGAGCGGAACCGTTGGCACTGGGTGCTGCTGCTCCCTGCCCTGCCGCGCCTGCAGGTGTCCAGGGCTGCTCGCCCAGCTCCGGCTGCTGCCTCCGCTGCGGCTCCTGCACCTTGTCAGCGGGTGAAATGGTACGGAGAAACGCCAAGCCCTTGTTTTTAAAAGTATGTGAAGAGACACAAGCATATAATTAATGAACTCATTCACATATAGACACGCACACATATATATGCACATATATGCATACGTATATATGTATATACAATGTGTGCATAGGTATATACAGTTGTGTCAGTGTGTACATCATATGATGTGAAGTGTCTGTCTGTCTGTCCATCTATACATCTGTCTAGGAGGGAAGCTTGGTTTGGGCCATACTTGTGCCTACGTGGGCTGAGCGGCAGGGAGGCGCAGCAGCTGCCCACGCCGCTGCAGCCCGAAGCAGCCGCTGTAACACGTGCAGGGGCCATCGGCAGGTTTTCCATTTCAGTGCCACGGTCCCGGCCGAGCAGCGGTGACGACGAAGGGCGAGGTGGGTGCTGACACCATCAGGGCATCCCACGGGAATGGCAGCCTCCAAGCAGGGGATTGCCTTCAGCACTGGGGAGCAGCCCCGCTGCTCGCTGCCTGAATATGAACCCCTGACAATACGCATTCAATCAATCCAAAACTACAGCGAGGAAAATACACGTTAAAGGGCAGAGCCGGAGCAGCCCTGGGGAGCGGGGGGGCAGTCCCTCAGCTCCCTCCCAGGCCAGGGAGGGGTCTCTGCACCTTTGTCACAGGGAGGATGGTCACAGCGTCCGGGATGGCAAAATCCGTGCGGCGACTGCCCTGGCCCAGCCATGGGCACTGTACGGGGCGGCTCTAACGCCCTTCTGCTAATGCCACGGAGTAGCGCCTTAAGTGATGCAAAGTTAATGGAAATTTCAGAAAGGCCAGAGATTTTTTTTTTTTTTTTAAATCCTCCCTTGACTGATCTCCCTCCCACCCTCCACCGCCAGCGCCTACAGTCCCCGTACGAACGTCACAGCACCCTGCTGCGGCAGAGCGGGGTCCCCGCTGAAAGCAGGGGATGTGCAGCCACTGCAGTTACAGTAGTAGTACAGTTTTTGCAGCAGCAGCAAGAGATTGGAGAGTGGAGAATAAAGCCAAGCAGCACCTGATCCTCGGGTTTAAAACCATCTTCTGCTCCCCGAGCTCTCACCAGGCCCCAGCTCTTCATCTCGTGTCTCTGAGTCACTCCACTGGTGATGTGCTGTGTCACGCCGAGCTCACGCAACCCCGGACCGTGGTACCGACCTGCGGAGACTCAAAAGCTGCACCACCGGCATCGACTTTTTTTTTTTTTTCCCTTTTTATTTTGGGTTCTTGTTATAAATATTAACAAATCTGACAAAAAGTACACAGATAGATAATACTGAAATACAAAAGTCTTTTAGGATGCAGGTAAGGACAGTTTCTGCAGCCTTCACATGGTAGCAAAACATCGGTATCAAACATTTCACGAGGCCTGGCATGACGACCACCACTCTGCATGCAGCTGGGACGGACAGACGGACCGTCCACTTAGAAAAGACTGGGATACAAAGTGAAGAAACCCCCCCCCCCCCACACACACACACACATACACACACACACACACACGATGTCCTATTCCACCTCAGGCATAAACCAGTTTCATGGCAAGAGGTGCTGAAACAAATGATGGATTGAAAGTGACTCTGCAAGAAAAGGGAGGCACAGCCGATGCCGTGCTCCCGTAGCTCTTCTGGAAGCTCAGATCCAAACCAGGTTTTAAGGTGCTGGACCAGTGACAGAGAGGATTACTGGGAACATCCTACTTGACACGCTGCCAGCATTCAAATAAAATCCATGCATATCTGTAGAATGCATTACAAATATTAAGTTATTAAAAAAGCCCCTATGAACGTTGGTTCCCCCCACCCATATCAAACAAGGTGTAACACGATCGTCACTTTGAAAAGTAAACGTAGGTTTCCAGAGATCCGATTGCTTTCAAAAAAAAAAGAAGTCGGCAACACACGCGCGCACACGCACACACAGCTACAGGGCTCGGAAGCTGTAGGTAATTGATACCCATGGGGAAACAGCAGCTCTTCCTAAGAAATCATGGTTTAAAGGCTTCAAAAATTTCTGGCAAGGTGCAGCATTTCACAGAAAGTTTTAGCTCATCCCACCGGGCTCCAATGGGATGAGGATGCAGAGACCGACCAGGGTGGGTCACGGAGGATGAGAGCTGGGATTATTATTATCATGTTATTACTGTGCCGTACACAGAAATTCGGTTTGGACGCTGTTTGAGGCAGAAAATGGACCAACCTGATGGCCATGCCGGAGCTGAGCATCTCTGCAAACATGATGCCGGCTCGGCCCTGCGGATCAGCTCGCTGCACACCAGCAGCTCACAGTGTAAAGCGCCTTGGTTGGGTTTTAGGTAACGGCATGAATTGGAAAAGGACGAGTAAGGGAAAAGTGATAGAAAAATTTAGCCTGAAAGCCGGCTTTGCCCGAAAAATAGCCACGCTGAAGCCTGGCTGCGTGGCTCCGGGTGGGAAGGCATGGTTTCATTAGGAAAGCAGCTGCTGCGAGGGCAGCGCGACTTCACTGCCGGTCCCGGGAAGCAGTCACTGCCGGTCCCGTGAAGCATGAATGGCGGCGGCTTCGCTGGGCTTTTTATTTTGCCCCGCACTTCTGCAAATGTGAAGCCACCCGATCCCGGGGACCGTGAAAGGGAAGCCACGGTCCGCACAGCGCCTTCAGCTTGCTGGCTAACTTCACTTGGGTTACTGGAGAGGACGAGCACAACATTTCTGGAAGAAAAGCAAACGGTCTTCCTAGGTTATCAGGGGACACAGTCATTCCAACGGAGGAGCTTTAAATGCATAAAAGACTGTTTAGGCCCAAACCACAGAGACTGACAAACCACCAGAAATATGGCACAATTGCCTTGAGAAAATAGTTCCAGGTTTTAGTGACACCTTTTGCTCATATTAGATACACGAATGGAGACTGATGCATTCATTTTTGCCACTGAATTGCAAGGCAGCGAGAAGGTAATTCAGTATAGCAAAGAGTTAGGAGAGGAGTCAGAACTGCAGTGCATGCAGGCGTGTGGTGTCCGTGTGCCTGTGCACACGTGTGTGCGTGTGCGCGCGCATGCACGTGCATGCTCGTGAGTGCGTGTGTGAGTGT